AATTTATATGTATAATATGTAATCTAACAAGTATTTAGGATAAAAATTGTAATTATATAATTCGCATCTATCACTATTATTTCTAATTTTTGCAGGATCATTTTGATACCTATTAATTTTGTTTCTATTTTCATCATTAATGGCTGGACTTTCATCCTTAACTTCACCAATCTGTTTGACATAATCATCATTGAATTTATATAATAATGTGTAAATATCTTTAAGTTCACATAACTCACCTAAAAATTAATAATGATTGTACTTTCATTTCTATATGATACATATAAAAATATAATATTTAAAAATAAGTAATAAAATAATAATTTTGATATACATATAGGTTGAAAGTATATTTGAAAAATAAATATGGAAAAAATTTTCAATTTGATTATATTTGTCCTTTGTTATTATCAGTATAGATAATAAAAGACAAATAACTAAATTAAATTAATATTAAAATTTACTGACATGTTACATATCTATTAAAAACATGTGTGAAATATATATCTAACTTGGGTTTAATAATAGAAGTTTTGGTAGTGACTATAAAGATTTCCTTATAAATGTATAATTTTGCTAGAAATTCTTCTACTTGTTTTAGATCAATTATCAATACATTGAATAGATTGTTGACAATATCCTTTCTAAATATTTTAGATACACCAATAAAGTAAATTTTATTTTTATTCAAAAATGATTTTAATGAATTCATTAATTCCCTAGCGGATAATCTAAGATTTTGTTCATTTTTATTCATAAAAAACCTTANTTTTTATAAATTATTTTTATTTTTAATTATTTACCATATGATAAATAGTTGTATTTATGACTATTTGTTTAAGTGTTTTTAAAGTCATACATAAATATATCTAATGAAAATCATTTTAACACTTTATAATTAAAAAAAGTATTTAATTTTATGCAATAAGAATAAAATATTTTAAACATGATGTTTATTAATTTTAATGATTATAGAGACAAGAGTCCGCACCCTAGAAGGCGATATAGTAGTAGAAATAACAGTAGAGACAGGAATTATTTTGATAACAGGAGAAATAGGTCTTATTCTAGAGATCGGGATTTTAACGTGAATAATTCTAGAACTAGAGAAAACAGTTATGATAGACGATTTAGAAATGGTTATGGCCAGGATATAGAGCGCAGTCGGGAGAGTGAGCGAAATATTAGAGGTAGATATTCAAGATCTATTACGCCTAATAATTATAGATTTTTATAAACACCAGTATTAATATTTTAATATGCCATCAAAATAATGAATATATTACTAATGATTGGAAAACTGAAGAACATAATTCAGTTATAAACACGATTAAACAATTTTATAATAAAAATATATCAGACAAAGTCAATAATTATAATCAGAATAATGATAACTTAAAAATTTTTAAATCTTATAAAAAGGGAGAAAACATTTATAGTGAAAATAATTGCGGATTTTTTGCAATTATAAACGCACTTAATGATGGAAATAATGAAAAAGTAACTTTCGTTTTTGAAATATTAGAGCTTTTAGAATTATCTGATCTACCTAATTTTTGGTTTAGTGATGATGAATTGCGAATCATTACAATCATGACACATATATTTTTACATTAATGATACACATAAAACTGGTATCATTTATGGTTTAGGTAATCGCCCACCTATAGTCTTATATAATGTAGATAAAAACACACAGTGGATTCCAGGTACAGAAACAAATAAACCATCAAGGGATATTCCTTTAAAAACAATACATTTTACAGAATTTGAATCTATAGACAATTTAAAAGAATCTATTTTTAAACAAATAAACAAAAAAGAATTTAATAATATTGCCAATGATGTTGACATTAATAATTTAATCATTAATGAAAATAATTTGTCAATAAAAACAAAAGATTATGAAAATCTTAATAACACAATTTTAAACACAAACACACATACACATGAAAGTAAGCCCACCATTGTAAATATAGAAAGCAACACAATTAATATGTTATCTCACTTAATAAGTTCTGAACACAAACAAGTCTCTAAAATAATATCACAATATAATAATTTACAGTTTAATGATATTGTTGAAATTAAAGCAGCAGATGAAGAAAATGTAATGGAGAATTTTATTTTTCCAAATTTAAATAAATATAATAGTTTAACACAGAAAGTAGAGTTTAACAAACAAATAGATAATTTTAATATTATAGCACCAGCATTAATAAATATCAAAAAATTTTATTCAAAGTCTTTAGTCATTTCAGACAAAAATTCAAATAAGAAAAATGAAAAAAATCAGATGTCAATCCATAGTAAAATAAATTTATTACAGGTCATTGAAAATTTTCAAAATTTTAACCTTATTCAATTCAATTGTAAGTTTTTACAGGTTTATGTATAACCATCAAGTCGTTTTAAATTAGATTCGACTTATTTTTATTACATTCGTAATACTATGAAAATAACTCAAGATTTTAAAACTATAAGTTTGCAAAATATATTTAATAAAATGATTTCATTTTTATTAGGTAAACCTATACTTTACAATTATAACTTAAATTCTTATACGAAAAATATTAATTTTAGAAGAAACATTTTATATTCTAAAAGTATATTTT